ATGTTACAACTGTAAATGTACAGTCATATGTTTGTATTACTGTTTTTATATATCTTTTTTTTTTTACTATTTTTCAAGGCTGCACTTTAAAAAGAAGATGAAATTGTCCAGAGTTTGCTGTTCCAAACAAAATGTATTTTTGTTTTACACTTGTGTAAACAAAACGACAAACAAAATCTGACTAAAGTCTCAAGAACTAGCAGCTTAAATAGTGGCAGAAGCAGGTGGATCAGATAAGCAGTAATGAGAAACCGGGCAGAGTTAGACAGGTGAATGAAATGAGCAATTAAGCTAGCCATCAGCACCACGATCTTCATGCATGCGACTCAAATCTCCATACAGGCATCTGGAAGCTGTCATTGACATCAAAGGTTTCTATTAAATACATTTCAGTGAGAGTGTAAAATACTTTTTCCCTGCACCATTTCACTTTATTACACTATATTTCTGGACATCTATGCTTTGATTTCTTTGGATGTGTGGATTGCATGGAGTGTTTTCGACATCTTGTGAAAATGTGACGTCAATGGCGCCTCTAGAAATATATTTACTGAGAAAAATGGTGTCTTGTTCATTTTACAGAGACACTGATTGCAGCAGCACAGCTGAATTTTCTGAGCAGGATGGAGTCGCAACCAAATAAGTGTTTATATTTGTTAGGTTTATTCTTTATACATCATGTGCATTGTTACTTTATTAGCCAGATTAGAGAGTAGAAGGCCTTCCTTCACATTGTGGATGTCACTGTGTGTACGGAGTACATCTAATCAGGGCAGCCCTCGTGTCTTTAAAATACACAGGATATGGGAACATCTTGGAGCCGGACTGATAGAGGAGAGCTATCTGTAATCCTTGGGCATGGATGGCGTGTCAGTTTATGATACGGACAACTAAGCATCCACCTGGTGCAACACATAGACTCATGAGCTATAAGAAGGAGAAGATGACCTTGTTCGGGGCTCAATCTTTGCCAGACACTCGCGGACGTGATTTTTGAGCTCACAGCTGTGCAAGCTCCAAGCATTTTCTCTGTCCTGTAACGACCTGATCTGGAATAAACTCTGTTGCTTTTTTACTCCTGTTTTATAGTCCTTTTTTAGTACTAAATAACTTGCTCCCAGGAAAAGAACCGTGAGGAAGCCCCCGAAGGCTCTTAGCTTAGCAAACAGGTGACCAGCCTTATTTATAAACAAATATAAACAAAAAGTAAATATGCATTTGATTACTAGTGGAGGTAATATTGCACTAAAATTAACAGATGTAAATGCATTTATTGATTTTAAGCAGTAAAATATAAAGGAGAGTCTTTGTTTGAAAATGTGTCAAAACTTAGAGGTGTGCAAACTTTTGCAGAATGCTCTAGCACCTTTTAGCCCTGTAAACATGGTTCCTCTGTTATGTAGATGATATATTGTTGACTGTAAGATTAGCTTAATCTGCTGGTTAGATTCATGTTATGTCAACAAGAAGTTTAGATGAAAAGACGGTAGCTCTTGCGGGAAATGCTAATGTTCGTCGCTGCTTCCAAAGAGGTGTATCTGCTTTGACTTCCAGGTTAGTTTTTGTATTTGGAGTTTTATTTGCAGCAGATTTAATTTGTCCGTTTAGACACGGATTCTGTGCCTGGATCCCCAGATCAGTTTACAGGCTGCATTGTGGGATGACATGTGATCTAAATACCATCGTCCTCCCTCTACACCCTGTCTTTGTTTTTCCCTCCAACTAGGTCAGTGTGAGCGGAGCAGAGTGTTTGCATGTGACCCATCCAGGATTTCTGGCGAGTTTCCCATTCCTCCTAAAACAACTGTTGGGTTAATGAACACACAGCATGGCACGACACGTCCCCATGGGCATTAAGGACATCCAGTGCAGCTGCTGGAAGCTTTGATGCGCTGCTGCCTATTGTTAATCATTTCCCACAGTGTCATTAAAAGGACAGATGTCACAAAAAGAGCTCACTTCACCGGCTGCATGAAGTATGAGATAAACCAAGCAAACAACCTGCAGGACATGATACCAAATACTGATTTTTCTAAATCAAGAAAACCCAATCCTTCTTCTCACCTTCTCAGCAAAGCAAACTTTTTCCTAATTCAACTCCCATCTTTTTAAGAAACGTGTTTCACTGTTTGTTGGACAAGTTTCTCAGGAATGATAGCAGAGACGGAAAATCACACAAGATAAGTCAAAGAGCCAATCAGGAGCAGCTGGGTGGTCTAAACTCAGAGAAGCAGACTTCAGCTTGAGTGACAGTTTTCCGCTTGGTCCTAGTGCTTGACCCGCTCCTACTGGCTAGGGTTCACCAATGTTAACCCATTGAGACATCCTGAGAAAGAGGCGTCTCTTCTGGAGATTCCCTCTGTTCCCACTCCAGGCTGATCCAACTGACAAAAGCGTTTATATGCTGAGATGTCCAACATGTCAAAGAATATCACAGTCCTCCGTTTGCAGCTGGCAGGCTGTCATTGGCCTGCACATGTGGTCTACCCCTTTTGTGGCGTTCTGATCCATGATAATACTTAAACTTTATGGATCTCATATTAGAAAAATTCACTGCTGCATTTAACCCAACCCATTCTCCAGCTCCTGAATGCAGACAAAACAGAAGTTATAGTCTTTGAAAAAGAAGCTGATTAGTCAGTCACTTCATTTGGATGGGATTAAACTGATTTCAGATAATAAAGTAAAAAATCTTGGTGTTATTTTTGATCAGGACCTGTCATTTAAATCCCATATCAAAGAGGTTTATAGAATTTCCTTCATTCATCTGAGGAACATTGCAAAAAAATACGCCCGCTTTAAATGAAGCAAAAGGGAAATTAGACCAATGACTAGAAAACAAAGAATGATCAAAGGAAAAACTAGAGGAGATAAAGTAACAAGCAGGAATAATAAAACTAAGTAATTCAAAATATGATAAAATTCTAATCAGTGAAAACAGAAAAACAAGCTGAAAAACCAAATTTAAAACTAAACAGAACCCAAAATTCCAGAACACCTTCTCTGTTAAATCATCTCCTGAGTTCCTAGAGGAGTTTTTGGAATAAGGCTAACCTAAATGAAAAACTAAACTCCTTAGAAAAAATATCAGAAGAGTGACTTCAACCTGCAGCCACCTCAAGCAGCACATCTAACCTTCATTTTCCCAGGAAGGACATCCCTGCAATAAAGAGTCAACTAAATCATTTGTGGTATAAAATACTTTAATAAATACATTTTTTTGTGATAAAATACTAAGTCAACAAGAAAACAAAGTTTTTAAAAAATATGTTTTTTACAAACTTGAAACATTTCTGAAACAAAAGCTTCTTGTCTAACATGACATTAAGTTTAAAATTAAATTTAGGTTTTCATCCGTCGTCAATATTATCAATGTTTAAAAAAAAACTTTCCAGACACAAACAGTGACATTAATGTTTGACATTTTCCTATAATTGCTAAATTAATTAAGTTGTTCCCTTCATTGAACCAAGCAGAAGACGGAGGGACTGAATAAATCTGCCATTAATAGCATGAAGCTTCTCTGAGGTGAGGATGTTGCTAAAGGGCTCCTCATCATCCTGAAGTGCTGTAGATCTGGAACAGCTAGAGGTTATAAAGCAGATGTGCTTTGATCTTTTCTAGAAACCTCTGATCCGTAAAATAGAATCAGAAATATTAACTTTATTCTGGTACAAGTAAGATGTTTTGGTGCCATAATTAGTCCAAGATAAAGCAGCATAATTAGCATTATTTGAGCTACCTGGAAATTAAATCCCCCTGAGTGAAAATCTTCATCTCGAAACATCTTCAACTAGGTAAACCCAGGTGTTCCACATCATGATGGTGCTTTCCCCGTGCTTCACTCTGGGAATTAAAGCCTATTTTCTTTTTTTTATGGCACTAGTGGCTCGTTTTTTCGACACTAGGCTGACAGGAAAGGGGGTATGAGAGACGGGGAGAGACATGCGGGAAAGGACCCGCGTCGAGGACTGAGGCCTCAGTACATGGGTCTCTAAACACTGAACCACCTGCACAACCTAACGCCTTTTTCTAACTTGCTGCCAGAGTAGCCACAACCTGCAGTGCCTTAAGAGTAATAGTCAGCTGGGGGTCTTTATGCTGCTGGTTTATTGCACTTTAAATGCTTTTTGTAACCTTTGAAAGTGTTTTAAAGTAGGGAGCATTAGATACATCAATAAATAAATAAATAAGCCTTTCAGACATTAATTCCAGTCTAACATGGATGCAGCAGAGCCTGTGATGAATGGTTGGTTGAGAGGCCAGCGTGTTTTATCCTGCTTCAAAGAGGAGGACGTAAAGAGCGTAAACATCACATTTCCTCAAAAGTGGCATAGGTCTGGTGTTTGTGTTGGAAAAAAAACAAGAATCCATTTGAATTACATTTAAAATCCCTTCAATGGTTTCAGACATAAGGTCAAAAATGTAGATTTTGGATTAAAGACTCAGGAGGGGATGAAAATCTTTGACCTTTATGTCGCGGACCAAACTCAGGTATATGAAAACTGATGAAGTAAAGATAAGATGACATAATTCAGCAAAATACTTAAATGAAACACAATCCTGTATGAATAATCCGGATTAATCTTTAAAAAAATGCTGAAAACAAGTAGAAGAAAACCTCACAATAATAGACGGAATGACAAAAACTCTAAATTAAAACCTGCTTGCTGCAAAACAGAGAATCATTTAACTTAGTTTAATCAAATATAAACACCCATTTCTGTCTTATATACATGACTTTGTACACAAAGAGGAAACAAGCCTTTGATGCAGGAAGTTTGTTCCCTTTACGTCCATTCAGAGACAAAAACACGGAAGGCACTAAAGAAAAGGGCTGAACAATAGGGGAAAAAAGTCCTATTTTGAAAGGGCAAGAACATTAAACTAGAAAATGAGCAAAAAAACTAATGTAAGAGTGTAAACAAACAGAAAGCGTACTGAGCATGTGTCAGCAGATCCTCTGCAGCCAAAACAAAGTGAAGGTTTCTGTAGGGTCAGGATTTAACCGTAAGCCATGAAACCGTCCAACTAAAGACTTTAGCTTTCCAGAAACACAGAGTATTTTTTTCATGAAACATGTTTGATGATTCACGAAAACCTCCTTGTTGGAAATAGAGAACATTAATAAGTCTTTCTACACAGGGAGAATTAAAGCTGTCATCTTTGCTTGTGTGGAGTTAGGAGGTCCCTGAAGGCCCCACGCCTCCCCGCCTTAAACATGGTGGTCCTCGCTGAGCCTGGTGGAGTTTTTACAGCGGTTGTCTTTGGGGCTGTACGCTGTCCGATGCGGCGCCTTCACTGGAATTCTGCACGTCGTCCAGATCCCCTCCCCCTTTATGTTCAAGCTCCTGTCCTGAGCCCCCACTAGGGGGCGCTTATGTGGCAGAAGCTCATCTTCCTCTGGCAACCCCTTCAGCTGCCACTCCTCTTCGTCGCCCCTCTCACGCGTCCTGCCTGATGGGCCCATTTCTTTCTTGCATTTGTACTGAACGTCTTTGTCGCGATTGTCTTTATGGGCGTGGCTCCGCAGCGGCTCCAGCTGGTTGTTAGTGGTAGCGTCTGCAGACAGTCTGGCTCTCTCTCGCCCTTTCTTTCTTTTCCGGGTCCACCAAACACAAACAACCAGGCAGAAGATCCACAGGATGCTGAAGACGACCCCCAGCGCCGGCACTAAATAACCTACAACAGAAGAAAACATAACATGTAACAACCTGATGGCCACTTTTCATTTTAGGAAGGATGTCAGTGAATAAATCAGGATTATTATGGTGGAAACTATATACAGTTTAGAAATGTTGCTTTTTGTTCAGCGTTTCTCGTCCTGCTGAATTTTGATCACAAAGTGTCCTAAAGTCTAGACTACAGAGGATCAAATACAGGCCAGAGCAGCTTCAGTGTCATTAGCAGCTAATGGTTAGCTTGGTGCAGAGGTCATTTAGGGCAGGTCCTCAGGGCTGCTATCCTGCGGACTTTAGAGGTTTTATTCTTCAACTGATTTCTGTTGATTAACAGGCTTTAGCTTAACTTCAATCAGCTGAGCTAAAGCAGCTGTAAGCCCTGCAGGCCTGAGGACCGACCCTGGACATGCCTGATGTAGGAGTCAGGTCACCGATAGAGAGGCAGTGGTACTAGTGTTTGCATTTGTGTGTTCCCATGGCCGGCTGTTCCCCATTAAGCTTTTTATTCAGCCTTTTTGATAACCTCGCCTGTTTAAGTGTGTTTTTATTTCCATTATCGACATAAATGGGCCTCACTGCTAAAGTTCTGCTCTCCCAAAAGGCAAAACCTTTTCTAAACCAGCTAAATAAACTGATGGCACAATGTGTTCACCTACCTCCATATCATTAGTTCAACTGTAACACCCAGCTGATATTTTAACTAGTTCAAAACTCCTGAACAGACATCATTGGTTGACTAACCCTTAGTAGGAACAAGTTAGGAACTACTATGATAGATCCGCCCCTTGTTAATGGGGAATACTTAAAGCAGGGTTCTTACAGCATAAGGCAAGTTAAATTCAAGACTTTTTAATGCCACTTGAAATAAAAATTTAAGACCAAATTCACAAGAAACACAACAAAAACCTGCTTGCAACAACTTTACCCAAAGGTTTATTTTAACATAAACCACTGCACTAATGTTTCAAATTTTGAAAAACTTCCCATACATGAAAAAAGCTAAAAACACACAAATGACAGATATATTTTAACAACCAATAATGGCGAGCCGTTATTTTTTTATTTTTATAAAACGATTTAAAAAATTGTAAATTTTTACATTTTATTTAGATTACAAAATAAATCGTAATAAAAATAATCCTATTTATGATGTTTTAAAAATTAAGACCAACGAAAGACTGATTTCAGACATTTTAATACCAATTAAGGCCTTAATTTTATTTTGAAGAATTCAATGCCTTTTAAGACTTTATAAGGACCCGCGGGAACCCTCTAAAAGATGGACCCGTTCCCGGTTCAATCTGCATGTTTTCTAAGCCAGTACAAGGCTTTGTTGGTCCACTATAAAGCCTGGAACTCAACATTAATTCTGACATTCATACCATTCTCTATCTAATCTACTGGAGCCGCTGGACTGATATTACTGATAAGTGAATAACAGGAAGAAATAACAGAAAAGGGGGCTGCCATGGATCACAGGGTGCCTGCAGGGTTTAACACCTGATCCAGATGTTTGGAGTTTATCATTGGAGACGAGCTGAACTGAAGCTGGGAGACATCTAAACCATCAAAGACACTGGTCCTCAAAGACTGGCTTTGGACAAGCCCTGCCATGCATGCTGGACTCACCTTGAGCAGGACATTTAACCCGCATCTCCACACTGGCTTCCACCACAGCTTGAAGGAAGGTGGTGTTGTGGTATTTTGACAGAGTGCCAGTAATGGCACTGGTAGCCCTCTGGATCTCCTCACAGTCACTGTCCTCTGATTGGCCGTCGTTTTCGAAAGACTGCAGAGAAGAAGGCAGGAAGAACCATGACGAAGAGTTCAACCCCTAACCCTTTCAACAGTGGGTCCTAAAGTTAGCTTTGCTGCGCTAACTGTCAGACTTCAACAGTTCATGGTGACTAATGGTCTGGTTGGAAATGGTAATCATCTCAAAGACAGTAAAGTCTGCTGTGCTGGTAAAAGTCTGCCAACATCTTTTTCAAACTTGATCAGATGCAACTTAGAGCTTTTCTAGTTCTCACTTCAGATGCAGGTAGAGAGGCTTCAGTTGCCTTCTGAATTTCGCCACATGTCTTTAGGCAGTGATATGTCATAACAGTGAATTAATTCACAGCCCTGTAATAGAAATGGGGCTATTTGATCTGGTCCAATCTTCTATAAAACACATTGGGATGTGCTGTGAATAACCGCTATAGAAATAAACTGAATAGATTTACAGCCATTCCTCCGGATTTAAAGCCTTCCTGATATTTTAATACAACTTTAGCTTATTAAATTCCAGGGTGAAACCTTTACTGGATAAAGGTCCTGGTCTAGTTACAGGACATTTCAGGGGAAGAGAAAGCTGTGTAACCTTCAAACTGCTCCTCTAAGATGAGTTCTGAGATGCTGGTCCAGGCTTTACACCCAGAGAAAGTACCGTATTTTCAGGACCATAAGGCGCACCGTACTAAAAGGCGCAGTCTCAGTTATGTGTGCCATTACTGTATTTAACACACACATAAGGCGCACCGGACTATAGGGCGCGGGTTTTATATACCGGTACATGTCCTCTACTACGTTTAAATACCTCTACTGCGTATTTAAAAATAGAGCGGGAGAAAAACTGAGTATGATTGTGCTTTATTCATGTATTTATTACAAAGTATTAATCAAACCCATCAAAGTCATCATCGTCTGTTTCTGAATAAAACAGCTGCGCTAAATCAGACATGCCAATTTCCCCTTCTTCGCTGTCAGTCACTTTCCGTGCCGTGCGGCTCCTCGGAAAGGATGCCGGCTTTTGCGAAAGCTTGAACAACAGTGCCAGCAGACACGTTAGCCCAAGCATCTACAATCCATCCGCAAACTGTGGAGTAACTTGCCCGGCGCTGCCTTCCACTTTTCGTGAAACTGTGGTCTCCGTCTGTCACCCATCGCTCCCACGCCGCTCGCAGCCTTACTTTGAACGGCGGGTTCACACCGATGTCGAGCGGTTGAAGTTCCTTTGTCAGACCTCCCGGAATAACAGCGAGCACAGCGTTCATTTGTTTCACCTTGTATTTCAGATCGGCTGTGAGATGGACACGCATGGAGTCACTGATTAACAGCGATGGTGATGCGTGGAAAAAAACCACCTGGTCTCAATCCAATCCCCCTTTAACGTTCTCATGGTGGTCTCAACAACGTCCGCAGTAAGAACACACATAGGGCGCACCGCACTATAGGGAAAAAAAAGACGTTTATATTCACCTTATAGTTGCGAAAATACGGTACCTGATTAGAGACACGTGTTTTTCTCTAGCTAAGCATTGAAAGGGAGAAAACAGACAGAATTTACCCAATTTAGATCTAATGGACCATGTCTGAGTTATTTTTGGGTTTTGTCATCGTACAAACGGGTAAAGCATCTTCAGTGTATAGGTCCGGGTTCACTATAGTTCATTGAACTTGAATGTCTTACTAGGTGACCAGAAGTCTCTGATGCTCGAGGACAGTCCCCCTTTTTGGACATCCTGTCCCTGAATAAATCTGTCCCTGGAAATGTCCCAGATGTTACCGCTTTATGAACGGGGGGGGGGGGGGGGGGGGGGGGGGGTTGCCTGTAGATGGTTATTATGGGAGAATGAGCTTGTTAGCAGGTTGTTCGTTGTTCTGGTAGCTGGATGCACTTCTGTTAACGTAAGGATGAGGAACAGAGCAGCTGATCCATGTTTGTTTTATTCCACGGTCACAGTACAGAGCAAAGAAATTAACTCCTGCATTTAACCCATCAGCAGTGGGCTGCCATTGTGTGGCGCCCAGGGAGCAGTGTGGGGTTAAGGGTCTTGCTCAGGGACCCAGAGTGGCAGTCTGTGGGGCTCTGAACCACTGGATTCGTAGGTCTATGCCCTGACCACCAGGCCGCCACTACTACCCCAGGTTTGATCCCAGATTTAAATAAAGGGCTTCAATGTGATTGATTGAAATAAAATGTAACTGCAGGGTTTGATCCTTTTCATCTGTCATGGATCATCCTGGGATCAGGAACGTTTGGGTCTTTTGGAGATCTAGGTCTGGTCCAAGGAAAATCCTGGAGATATGGCAGCAATGAAATCTACATAGACATAAATGAAATAGACTGATTTTCCTAGCATCTGCTACGTGCTCTTTCTATTTCTGAAGACAGCACCTTAGAAACCAGCTCCTCTCTGACACCAAGGTTATCAAAGTGTCGGTCTAAAGGTGAGTTTGTGTTGTAATCACCATGGCAACCTCCACAGCATCACTAGTGGTGTAGGACAGGTCACAGAGGATGTTCAGGGCTCGGTCCACAGCCAGCGTCTGGGTCACTGGAAGGTAGCGCAGCTCGGAGCAGATGTTCTCCACAGTGGTGCCCTGCCACACACACCCAGGCACAGTTGAAAACTATTGACACCATCACAGTCTTTGCTTTTCTGTCTCACTCAAATGTTTGAAATTATCACAAAAAAACACAATAACTAAAAAAAGATGTTATGAAGGTTTGTTTTTAAAACTTTTTTTTTTTGGAAAGCTCTCGTTCTGTGTTTGACCATTTCCTTTCCGTCTGCATGTGGTGGTAGTTCGTCCAGAGAAAGACTGTTCTGTCCTCACCTAAACATCATTTTCTGGATCTTCTCCAGACCCTCTTCCTCCATCAGTAGGGTGGTTCACCCGCTTTAATTTCCGTTGTCAGTCACATGGAATGGACTCAGAGTGAGCCTCATCCACCCTCTAGAAGTTTCTTATGGTCTAAAACCATAAGTTTGATTTACAATGTACCAACAAAGCTTTACTTTGAACGAGTTCCACAGCGACTTAATGAGGTGATTAAAAATGGCTCCACTGACTGGATATGAGACTGTTTGTTTTTGGATTGTAGAATCTCAGCTGATAAATTTTTATCTAATAGATGAAGAACTATTATAATGTTCAGATTACACATAAATAGATGAACTGAAGAAGGAATTAGCCTAGGGTTAGGATTCACTGGGAGGTAGAAAGACCCAGTCTATGGGACTGATAACGCTGGGCTGTCTCTAACTGGAGTTGGTCAGTTTATATTGGTTCAGATGTTGTTGGGTTTGATTCATATCTGGATCAGGGTTCTGGGCTGTCTCTCTGCTCCAACACCTGTAGGTCTAACCCTCACCTGGGGCACTTTGTCCTTGTCATAGATGAGCGTGATGCGAGCACAGCTGTTGTCCAAGTAGCCACTATTAGGCTCAAACTGAGTGTGCACTGGAGTGGGGGGGTCTGGTACCGAGCACACACCCCACTGGTGACATGGCGGAGAGAGGCAGGTGAGAGTGGGATGTTGGACACAGTCTAGGCCTTCAGGACAGGACTGATGGCCGACGCCTGAAGCTGGGACGGCTCTGGGCAGGATGCAGGGCCGGCGGCCACACCTCACCTGGAAGAGGATGGTCAGGCTGCTTTAGTAGATGGCACAAACATTAAAGGAAGACTAATCATGTTCTCCATCAAGTGTATTTGGGTTAGTCAGTGAGACCTTGGAGCAGAAAACATGGCCGCCGATACACTGACAGGCGTTACACTCCTCCTCCCAGCGGCTGCCATGAGGATATAGCAGGCCAGCATGGCGGCAGGACTTCCCAGAGCCGCTGGCTAAGAAGAACAAAAAGAATTAAAGGCCGGATCACATCGGTTCCAAAAACAATCAGCATTGCCACAGAATCTAAACCAGAACAGATAGAGGATTTTAATAGGCTTTTATTAGTAACATTATGGTAAATATGTTAAAAGAAAATGCAGCAATAAAGGCTGAGGGATAGTTTCTATGCCGGCTGAGGCAGAGAGGCGATTCAGAGATCTGGGCAGGATCTTCTACACAGATTGATAAGCTGATCTCTATGTCAGATTTTGTTTTGTATTTTCCTCCAAAGCGGATGTGCTTTACTTTGTAACCGTGTCTCTCTTCCTGTCAGACCAATGAAATTGCTGCCGAAACGCTGCGTCGCTCCGACTGAAATAGACCTGAGCTCTATCTGAGTTGGAGCTACGCTGCCCCCTGCAGGAAATCCTCCCCATTGACTTTCGATTAGCGCTAAACTTCGCAACCTCTGAGAGACGATTTTCTGTTAGATCGGGCTCAAAATCCGATTCTATGTTTTCTGGCCTTTAGTTGTCAACATCAGAGCCTCCTTCAACCAATCATCTGATAAAAAATTGTTTCTGCTTTAGTCACACAGGGGGATCAATGCTTCACATCAGTGGCTGATGCTATTAGAGCCTCGAGATTTTCTAGAGGGCCTACAGGGGCCGAGTTTGTGGGCCCCGAGCTGCTATGGACCTCCTTTAATGTTTAAGCCCTAACCCTCCACTCAGAGGTCACAGCAGGAATGAAGTACATGCTGAACCTCTGCGCTTTATTCATGGATGTGACCTCCCCACCACCTCCCTGCACCTCTTCTGGTCCCAGTCACCAACCATGTAGACTTACTCTGCTGACAGCGCGGTCCAGCTCGCCCAGGAGGACAGATGCAGCGGTAGGCAGCGATCTCATCGATACATGTGGAGCCTTCTGCGCACGGAGACGACTGACACTCATGTATATCTGAGGAACATTTGGAGAGAAGTAAAGAAACCACAGATTAGGACCTACAGGCTGATGAAGAGGAGACCCAGAATACTCAAAATGTGCCACATCTAGAGGGCTGGACCCTCCAATGAGTTTTCAAATGATGATTTTATTAAGAGAAGCAATCAAATGAAAGATCACCTGGTTAATGACTTTGGTCTGGTAAAACTGGCCTGATAACAACCTGACTTCAGCAATAATCTGTCAGTTATTCACAAACTCTCCAAAGACCGGAAAAATTCACCCAGAAACAAGCAACAGATTAAAAGAAAGAAAAACTGAAAAACTAATTTGCTGACATCACTAAGATAAGCTAACTTTGGGATGGTACAGAACTACAGTCAGAAAGGAAGAAACATGCAAAAGAAGCTTTCCAGGAGATGCAGAAACAACCAAGGATCTGCATCTTTGAATGATTTGAATGTCATTGCTCGGTAGAAGGTGGCTCAGGAGTGCTGCCAAGTGAACAATACGATTCTAGAATTTGCAAATGGAAAATTTTTGCCAAATATATAAAAGCCAGAGAAACACTGAACCTCTAAAGATTTTTAGATGGATTCTAAAAAAGCTGCTCTGATGTACTAGCCTCGTGAGACCATCCTAATATCGCGAACTTTCAAGATTTCACTCGCTAATCAGTCTGGAGACTCTCCGTTGAAGAAAATTTGGAGCCGTTCACCAAACGAATGTCCAATCAGCGTTGGCTTTGAGGCGTGTTGGGGTGTGATGCAACGAGAAGCGCGACAGTTCAGTCTAAAGAACATGGCGGCTTCAGCCGATGAAACTAGCGTTAGCGTGGCTATCGAGCAAGTTTTATCGGAATTACAGATTATTTCTTCACTGAAAGAAGAGCAAAACACTGCTCTGGAGGCTTTTCTCAGAGGAAAAGATGTTTTTGCTCTTCTCTCCTCTTCGTCGTCGATCTGTTACGTCATATGCTTCGTTGATCTGATTGGTTTATTTAGCCCGTCTATCACCAACATAGGCCAATCAGCTAACCAGTATTTTCGCCCCTTCCCAAAATTACTTCAATGGAAGGTTCCCAGATGGATATGCGGAGCAATTCCATCTGGCGGAGTCAGGTTACTGATGTAGCTCAGGAGGGCTGGTAATTCAGGGTTCCCAACCTTTTCCTAACCAGGTCCAACTTACTCATTCCTGGTTCCCAAACTCCAACACCATGAACAAGACAGAGGCGAAATAATGTTCACTCAGAGCACTCAACAACAATTAGTGAAGCAGGGAGCAATGCCATTAGCTGCATCCGAACCGGGCTGCAGAACTTTCAGTGATCATGTCTTTTTATTGCGCTATAGTTTATTTCTATAGCACCAATTTACAACATGTCATCTCAATGCACTTTACAGTTCACCAGATCATCCAGTCAGATTGATTCAAAGTTTTCTATCTTAGGAAAACCAGTTGATTGCATCATCTCTTTGAACAGGAAATAACCTCCAGCAGAACCAGGCTCAGTGTGAGCGGCCATCTGCTGAGGCCGACTGGGGTTCAACGAGACAGAAGCAGACATAGAAAAAGAAGCACAGATAAAAAAAAGCAACTGTCAACCAGCTCCACAGGCGGCCCCGTCCAGGAAACACACAGCCAGGCAGACGAGCTCCGAGCCAGCTCCCATGTCAGACGATGAAGAGAGCACATCCAGTTAGTCACAGTCAGAGAAACAGGACTACACTGAAAAAATAGGCCAATCTCCAACATCTATAGACAAAGGTGTTGATGGCAGACTGGCAAACTTGTTCCCTCTGCAGCACTATTCAGCGACTGTTATTTCTTCACATTTTATGCCAGGTGTCAGCACAAGATCCAAAGTATGAAGATGAGAATGACTATTCACACACACAAACATATATATATATATCAAATAACCAAATGTTAGGACACGCCCTCTCATTCAAAGAGTTTTCTTTATTTCCATGACTATGAAAATTGAAGATTCACACTGAAGGCATCAAGAATATAAATAAACACATGTGGAATTATATACTTATCAAAAACGTGTGAAACAATTGAAACAATCTAGAATATATGTCTTATATTCTAGATTATTCAAAGTAGCCACCTTTAGCTTTGATTACTGTTTCGTAAACTCTTGGCATTCTCTTGATGAGCTTCCAGAGGTCGTCACCTGAAATGGTTTTCAACCAATTCAACCAATAACAACAAAATACATGTGTGTACAGGCGGTGATCCCAGTAAAGGTCAACAGGTAACAACCTGCTATGTCCATTTTTTCTCCATTCATCTACCTAACAAGCTCTGATTACGTAACAACAGGTGGTCCAGCAGCAAAATGACTGCAGCTGGTGACATTGGAACGGATCCTACCCCTGGTATGTCTTATTGATGCAGGAGGGAAACACGCACCCACACTTAAAACATTATGTTTAACTATTTCAAATGTTTAAATTAAAGATATAATGAACTTTTTTTTTTTTTTTAATAAGTTGGAGTCTAACATTTGAGCTAATGTTCAAATCATTCCTCATTTCTCATCCTCCCTTAGCACCGGCTGCCTCTGGCGCTCTGACCTTCTGATGTAGCGCTACCATCTCCCATCTGGCCGCCTCTGCCGTTTTGTTGCTCTGTGCCAGGGCTCTTGTTCTCACTACTCCTTTCTGAGCTTCTGTCTTACTTCAGTGGAAAGCAGCTCTAATCAATCCTAGAATCCCTGAACTAGGAGCATCTCTAAACGATCTCCTGGATCCAGCGACACTGGCAGCTGTGTTCAACTTTCCAAAACAGATGAAGCACTGTGACTCACGCAGTAAAATCCAGCCCCCTCCTTCTGAGGAGAAACCAACAACGAGCAGATCCGCTGTGCTAACTCCTGCTGCTTATTAGCTAAGGAGTGGCCTAGTCAAAGCTTGGACTTTAAACCAAATCAAATATAGTAAAATAACAGACTTTTTGAACCAATATGGTTAAATTGATCTAATATCAACGTGATGAAATAAAGCGTTGATGAAGGAGAAGAAGGGCAAAAGCAGAATGAATCCGCCTCCTTCAGCTCTTCTGACCTGTCTGGAGAACATCTGAAGCCGACTTACTGGTGCGACAATCAGGTCCAGCAAATCCCGGGGCACAATTGCAGCGAAACCAGTTCACTCCGTCTACACAGGTGCCGCCGTTGTAGCTTGAAGGGAGAGAATAAAAAAAACTTGTTCAGGAACATTTTAGTCACACAGTCAAAGGTCTCTGCTAGAACAGAAATAGATTTAGCAAATACTTCAACTTTCTCTTTGAACAGGGGTTAGTTTGAAATCTACTGTTCTGGTCGCCTCTCTGAGGCTGATGACACCATCAGGAGAAGCAGCTAAAGCTGAAGAACATTCCCAATTCATACCCCCATCCCGCCAATATGACCAGTTCAATGCTGCACTGGGAACAGCAAGACTAAGAAAAGCATCAACGTGTGTAAAATGGAGCTGTTCTGCCTTACCAAGGGTGGGGGCTGCAGTCATCCATGTCTGCAAGACAGAGGATGATGATAAAAGTTAGACAGTCTTCAACTAAGCTGTGATCAGAAATAGACTCTGACTATGGAAACAAGAAGCACCAGAGTTCAGACAGAAACTCAACCTGCTCAGGAGAGGCTCTTTAAACATCTAAAAGTCGACTACTTTAACAGGGCCGTGAACGCAGCATCCAACAGAAACAGAATTTTTAGACCATCCCTGGTATTACTGTTTAATTGCAATAAAATATAGATATAGCAGCAAAGGGCAAAAGACCCAAAACTATATCAGCCAATTACTGACATATCAGACCATTAATACCATATCAGGACATTACTACCATAAATCCTACACATTATTATCACAGATTTCGTAGTAGAGTTCAGGACCAGAGGCATCTAAGGCTGTTTAATGACAGAGCTGGTGAGAAGCTCTGGTGGAAACCAGGACAGCAATTTGGGATCTGGGTGGGTGAGGTTCGGGTGAGTGGGTTCTGGGTGGTTGGGGTCTAGATGGGTGGGGTCTAGGTGGGTGGGGTCTAGGTGGGTGGGGTCTAGGTGGGTGGGGTTCGGGTGAGTGGGTTCTGGGTGGCTGGGGTCTGGGCGGGCAGGGTCTAGGTGGGTGCGTTCTGGGTGGGTGGGGTCTTGGTGGGTGGTTTCTGGGTGAGTGGGGTCTAGTTGGGTGGTTTCTGGGTGGGTGAGGTTCGGGTGAGTGGGTTCTGGGTGGATGGGGTCTAGCTGGGTGGGGTCTGGGTGGGTGGGGTCTAGGTGGGTGCGTTCTTGGTGGGTGGTTTCTGGGTGAATGGGGTCTAGTTGGGTGGGTTCTGGGTGGGTGGGGTCTTGGTGGGTGCGTTCTGGGTGGGTGGGGTCTTGGTGGGTGCGTTCTGGGTGGGTGGGTTCTTGGTGGGTGGTTTCTGGGTGAGTGTGTCTGATGGATGTCGGGGACCTACTCTGTGCACAGGTGGGCCCCTCCCAGCCATCTCTGCAGATGCAGGTGAAAGGTTCTCCTCCTACACAGGTTCCTCCGTTCTCACATGGATCCACATCACAGCTGCTGTTCAGAGCTGAAACCAAAAACCATCTCATCATCTTCTGGTCCAGGTCGGTGCGTTTAGCTAGCTGGATCAGACTGTGGCCCACCTGTGTTGCAGGTGTTTCCTGTCCACCCTGACAGGCAGCGGCACAGGAACGAGTCTCCATGATCATAACAAGTTCCTCCATTCCTGCAGGTGTTGGAGTCACACTGGCTCTCACCTGGAGGGTGGAAGGAGGACACAACCTTCTGTCGTTGCTCATAAACATCGACTTTCAGCCCAAATGAGAAGAGAAACTAAGGAAAAAGGCGTCTCAGCATCTCTGGTGGCTGACTGACTCCAACTAGGAACACCTGAAAGGCAGGAATGAGGATCTGAACTCACGTAAGTGGCAGTGTTTTCCTTTCCAGCCGTCCACACAGAGGCAGTAGAAATCATTGAGCAGATCCACACACTGGCCTCCGTTCTGACAGGGGTCACTGCTGCATTCGTTCACATCTGGAAGAGCAGAACAGAAGGTCAACATAAAACTCTCAGACTCCACCCACTGATGATCTCTTTCACTTCCTCCACACACCAACGGCTAAGCTAGCTCAGCTCTGCTAATGAGTCAGAACCAGACCAGACCGGGGTTTTGGTTCGAGCCCAAACCCCAGGGCCTCAGAGCGAAGCTACAGAAACACAGGAAACTAGTCTATAGGAAATATAGACCAGTATGAGGTCAGAGGGAGTTACTGGGTTTACTAGGTCACGGTTTTCTATTTATGAGCCTCAACTAGTTCAAATCAGGAAGAAAAAAAGAAGAAGGATTTTTTTTGTTAAAAAGGTCAAATTAAATTAACATCATTATTATTAAAACAAATGAACACCATATCTCATATTTTTATCTTCGCTTCTTTCTATAATATGGGTAAACCCTTCATAATGAGAGATAAACCGTTAAACAGTGAAAGTCGAAGCAGTGTCTGGAATCGTGCAGCCACGTCCACTCACCGCCGTCACACAGGACGCCCTCCCAGCCGCCCAGACACACACACTGGAAGGAGCCGATCCCATCGATGCACGTGCCTCCATTTTTACACGGAGACGAGGCGCAGTCATTGATGTCTGCAGAGATGGAGGAGGAAAAACATTCATCTTCTGGGTAAAACTGAACCCAACTGAAAAGATGGCGTTTCATGTTTTACCACCTAAGTTTAGCTTCGACTTAGACTCAGCTTTATTAGTCCCTGGGATTACTCCTTTAGGGATATTCTGTTTCCAGTAGCTTATATAGAGTACATAGAGTTAAAGCAAGACGCCATTAAAGAGAAAAATACAACAGACAATAGAAAAGGAGTGTTTATAGTACAAAGAAGCATAAAATAAGAAAAAAGCTGTAAAGTCCTGGAGGCTTAAGTCCCAACCAAAGGATTGGTTGGGACTTAAGCGATGGTAGATCTAGAAGGACTCACTCTGGTGGCAGTAGGTGCCAGTGAATCCTGGATCACAGGAGCAGCTGAAGTTCCCGGCAGGCAGGCTAATGCAGCGACCGTGGGGCCCACACACGTTCGATGAAATATGCCACACTTTCTGCTGAGGATCATTGGTTGCTACGGCAACGGTGCAGCTGTCAATCACTGTGGGTGCAGTCAAGAAAAAGGGTAAAATCAGCATGGCTGCTGGTATCTGCTGGTGCCTGTGGATCTGGTAGATACCTTCACACTGGTTGGTCTTGCAATGGTCCTTGAACTGAGAGCAGGTTTTACCCTCATATTCATCAGGGCAGCTGCAGTAGAAGTCACCTGCCATGCTGTGGCACCGGGCCTGGTTTTTACAGGGGTTGGGAGAACAAGGATCCCTCTGCACCTACAGAAAAACCAAACTTCTATAAGAATCAGTGGGAAACATCCAACCTGCTGATGTCCTTCAGACGGAGCTCCAGACATTAACATTCACTGTATTCTCATTATGAGTTTGTATGAAATCGTACGAAAAGTTATGCACCGTAATTTCGTACGTTTTGGACGTTTTTTTCGTCGTATGCGCATGCGCATCTTACGCACCATTTAAGAACATAGAATATAAATTAGCCCTAACCCTGACCCTAACCCTAAGATATAAAACAGCAAGCAACGTAGTTAGAGACATGAATAAGTGATTATTGCACTGTTTTTCCCAGCTTTAAGTCCGTCCGCGGATCTGCTTTTTTTTCTGTCTGCCAGCGTATGCGCACTGATCTGTTTTTTGAGGAAAAACGTCCAAAACGTACGAAATAGTGTGCATAACTTTTCGTACAATTTCATACGAACTGATAATGAGAATATGTTGTAACATTAGACGCTCCAATAACCCCAAATCATCTAGCCCCTCCCTCTCTAGTGGGTGGGGCTTAATAAGAAAGATAATAAGATAATAAGAACATGGTTTGGTGTTTTTGAGCATCTATAATATCTACATCTAGAGTCACTCCCTTAACTTTGCTCCATTCACTGAGCGACCACGGTTTTGATGAAAAGATCATCAACGTTTGGAAAAATGCACAGAGGGAAAAACAGCCTCTCCTATCCTGACTGTGACCCATAGCTCTGCACTCCTCTACCCCTCTTTATCTCTCTGATGTCACCACTGATCCTGACTCTGGAGAACTTATTGTCATATTGTCATAAGTCGCTTTGGATAAAAGTGTCTGCTAAAAGCATAAACATAAAAAACATGCTTTACTCAGAGTAAATTAATAACTCAGCTCATCTGATGAAGGTTAGGCCGTCACATGTTTGCAGATGTTAATCCTCTGTAGAGCGCTTTAACGCTTCATATCATATAATCAGTTACCTTTGTTAGAAAGTAGTAGTTTCTTTACAATATGACCACCTGTAAAAGGAGTAATTAGGTACTGATTATATTTAGTTACCAGAATAAACACTTAGGGGGCGCTCTTCAATCCCATCTACTTTATTTATGTAGCAAATTTAAACAACAAAATGTTTCCAAAGTGCTGCAAATGCAAAAAGGCAAGTATAAAACAATAAATATAAATAAAACAGAATAAAAGTGAGTCTTAAGACAACATCTAAAGCATTCCAGGGTGCGGGTCATACGTATTATCGGGGGGCGGAGCATTCCACGGCTTAGAGCCGACAACAGAGAACGCTCCCTTCCCTCTGGTTACCGATTCATCTTAGGAGTAACGAGCTAGAGCTGGCCCTCTGACCTCAAAGCGAGCAGGGGACGTTAAATCGGGACGAGGTCTGCAATGTACTAAGGTGCCAGTCCATTACAAGATTTTAAAACAAAGAACAATATTTTGAAATCAATTCTAACCCTAACAGGGAGTCGGTGCAAAGGTGCAAAGATTGGATTGATGTGTTCACCTTTTTTGTTAAAGTCGTGCAGCAGCGTTCTGGACTAACGGCAAGCGGGAAAAATATTTATGGCTTCTGCCCTAATAAGGGGCATTGCAGTAGTTCAGACGACTTAAAATAAACGCATGATCCACTTGCTCAAAAAGATAAAAACGGCTTAACTGTGACAGTCTCGGCTCTCTTACTGGTCTGATCAACCATTCATCACACCTGCTCCACTGCAATCAGCTCTTACTGGTTCCACCTGTTTTCACCTCATATAAACCCTGTGCAGATCAGCTACCAGTGCCAGATTGTCTCTAGCCACCCGCATGAGCATTCCAGCATTTCCCCTTCTGATTGCCTGTCTGTTGCCCGACCCGATTCTGTCCTTGGACCTGCCTACCAGCCTGACCTGTTGTTGCCTTCTCGTTAAACTGACCCAGCCTACTTGTGAGTATCGGTTTCCCCCTAACCCTTGTGAAATCTCTGAGCCTACCTGTTAACAGATCTGGACCGGACCTGGACCTCCTCTCTTGGATAACCCTACCTGTACAGGCGCTGGATGTCTGTCTTTATGTGTATGGACCCCGGGCCTCTCTGGATCATGCCCCCTGGATAACCCTGAATAGAGTGCATGCCTGCCTGTTGGCCGCACCAACAGTAACCCCCAAAGCCCGGACCAAGTCGGATCCCAGTACTGGACCAGCCCTCTGACATCTAGTCGGTCCCCCAGGCATTGTAGCCCCGCAATCAGGTTAGTGAAATAGCTACTCTCACTCTTACCCGTTACCATCAGCTGATCACTAACCTGTTGTCTCTGCCACAGGACGTTTCCTGCTTTGGAGCGAGCAATGCGCCCCCGAACCCCTGCTTTAGAGTTATTTTCAATAAAGCATGTTTCTAACGTCACTGACCTGTGCTGGTTGAATTCTGGGTCCAGTCCCTGCTTGTTACATTAACTTTGAATAACAGACGAAGATGATAAAAAAAAAAATCCATTGATCTGTTTATCAAATTTAAAATCGTTATCTACGATGACGCCAAGGCTGGTGACTTTGGAAGGCAAATCTACGGTGGCCCTGAAGTGCAAACTGCAACTACAAATCTAAAAGCGCAACTACATTAAGGAAATCAAAACTACATAAAGCAAAGCTTAACTACCCTGTTGCTTTGTTGTCTGAGAACAGAATGGGAAATAAACACGTTGCATTTAGAGACGTTTTTGTCTCATCATGATCGTAAAGATTTGGTCACGCTGCTCACCTCACAGGTAGTCCCGGTGAAGCCTTGTGGGCAGTCACAGACAAATCCCTCCAGGAGGGTGCGGCAGCGCCCACCGTTTCTGCACGGACTGCTGGAGCAGCCATTTTTTGGAACCTCGCAGTGCCGACCCACATAACCCGACTGGCAAACACACTGGTAGCCTCTGGCGGTGTTCTGGTGAGAGACAGAGAGTGACTATTAGAAGGTGACTAAAAAGGCCAAAAACCAAAACCATATATAACTGCTCCAAGAAACAAACTGAAATATTGAGAAACTTTTTACTAATTGGAATAAATAAAGCAAAATAATGCTACGTTCAGATGAAGCAGCAGGAGCAGCTAGTTAACATGCAAAGTCTATGGTTGACGCACATCAAGGCGCAGCAAAAGGTTCTGCAGCGTCTAGAGCAGCAGGAGCAGCGCATCATGAGCTTCTAAGCATCTGACGCGCTTCAGAAGCAGCAGCTGCTGGAATTGGAAAAATTTAACTTTAGCTGCTGGACGCGCCGCATCAACCAATCACAGAAGCTGATCTAGGAGCTGGCAGGGAGACAGACACAGCACTGCTGATGCAGAGCGCTATGATCACTCCTCTGAAACAGTTTATTAATGCCTAAATTAACTTAAAATGTAGAAACCTGCCGGCAAGACATGGACCTGGTGCCTGCAGGTTGTAGCATATAGCCTACCTGAAAAACGCTAACATCTACTTCCAGCCGCCACGAACAGTAGCAGAAAACCCCTAAGAGGCGACCGGGCCTGAGGCAGCTGCTGCTGGGGATTCCCAGTGACAGCGCACCGCCGGTATGTGGGGGACTGAGCGGCTCCCAAAGAGAAATGATAAAGGCAGGATGGTAATCTGGATGAACTGACTGCACAGACCATGTTTTCAGATGGACTTTCTCACCTCAAAATACATTCAAACTACTTTTTACCCACTGATCACAGCAAATATAGTAAAGCCGCTCTCTGGCATTGAACAGAGGAGCAGCAGAAGCATCAGACACACTTTACTGGACGGCTCACCTTAATGGATCAGAAATGAAGCAGCAGAAGCTTCCAGCACTTAGCGCTCTGAACATAGCATAATACAAACATTTATTTCTCTTTTATGAATAATTGTTGGTGAAATCTCAACTTGATCACAGCGACTAAAATAGTGTGAAATGGAGGCTTATTTTAGTTTGAGTTTCAGTTAGCTTCATTTAGATCATATCAATTCTTTTCAGTTTATTTCTATATCTCCAATTCACATCATGTCATCTCAGGTCACTTTATATAGATCATTCAGTCAGATTGATTCAAAGTTTTCTATCTAAGGAAAACTAGTTGATTGCATCGACTCCTTAGCTCTTCAGCAATCTCTCACACTAAGCATGCTTGTAGCGACAGTGGAGAGGAAAAACTCCCTTTTAACAAGAAGAAACCTCCAGGAGAATCAAGCTCAGTGTGAGCGGCCATCTGCTGAGGCCGACTGGGGTTCAAGGAGACAGAAACGGACATAGAAAAAGAAGATAGATACAAAAGGCAACTGTCAAAGACGTAATCTTTTGAAGTTTCACAAGACACGTCTGTTTCATTTCCACATATCTAAAACTCAGTCCGATCCTGATCATTTACAGTATCAGGGAGAAACACTATTGTAGTAAATCCATTAAAATCTTCCAAAACATCATTCTTACACTTTACAGTTGTTTTAATAAGATGTAACAAAAACTTCCTTATAACTATACTTCTTAAATCTCCTGTCCAGGGGTGATGCTGAGAAACTAGTCGATGCATTTGTTACTTCAAGGCTGGACTATTGTAATTCTTTACTATCAGGAAGTCCACAAACTGTAGTTAAAAGCCTTCAACTGATCCAAAATGCTGCAGCCAGAGTTCTGATGAAAATTAATCCTATCCTAGCTTCTCTTCATTGGCCTCCTCTTAAATCCAGAATAGAATTTAAAATCCTCCTTCTCACATATAAAGCCTTAAATGGCCAAGCTCCATCTGATATCAGAGATCTGATTGTTCCTCGTGTTTCTAACAGAGCACTTCGCTCTCAATCTGCAGGTTTACTAGTGGTTCCTAGAATTTCTAAAAGTAGAATGGGAGGCAGATCTTTTAGTTATCAGGCTCCTCTCCTGTGGAACCAACTACCAGTTTTAGTCCGTGAGGCAGACACCCTGTCTACTTTTAAGGCTAGGCTTAAAACTTTCCTTTTTGATAAAGCTTATAGTTAGAGTGGCTCAGGTTATCCTGAGCTATCTCTATACTTATGCTGCTATAGGCTTAGGCTGCTGGAGGACATAGGGACCCCCTTTTCATCATTCTGCTTCATTCTATCTCTATTCTCCCAATCAACTTGCTTTTTCTCCTAATAGTAGCTTAATTTAGCCTGGTTCTGTTCAGCTATGACTTTGGTCTTGAAGGAGGCATCAACTGCGATCCACCTGGTCCTGTCTCTCAGTGTTTACCTCTGTCTCTCTCTGAGACTGGCTGAGCTCTATTGAGACAAACTGGTTCTGCTGGAGGTTTCTTCCCATTTTTCCCCGAGTCTTTTTTGCCAATATTGGACTGAGAGTTGATGTCCCAGAGCTAGATAATATCCCAGCAAATACGCTTTCAAGTCTACTTATGTATAAAACTTAATTGGAAATGGTTTTAAAAATTAAATCTTATGCAACGGATATGAAAATGGAGGTAAGTAAGGGAGGAAGGATGAGAATTAAGCAGAGAGAGATGAAAGAAGGAGATGAAAAGGAGGGCAGGTGAGAAAAAGAGAGAAAGAAAAGAAAAAAACAAAGCAGACAACAGAGGAAAACCTAGAAAACAACAAACGACACTAATCACAACAACAGGAAGCATCCCATAGACACCCAGTCAATACATGTTCACAAACATCAGGAGAAAAACCTATGAAATTATTTATCAGGCCTATAAATGTTGTTATTTGCAGCAAAGTATTCAGTATAGGTGCGCATACTCCTATACTAAACCCCGGGTTGACGTCTGTGGTAAATATGCTGTGCTCTTGTGTATAAATGGTTTATATGACTTCTTCAAAAGAAGAATATGCTCAGACATCTCAGGCACCCCACACTACAGGGAAAGAGCAAGGGCACCATATGAATGGTGGTACCTTTCTGAGATGGGTTGGCTAAAGCCCCTTACCAATGAGGGGCCAGCCCTGTGTGGCTATGGTGCTGAGGTACCAAGGGACGTCAGCAGGGACCTCAGATGGACCTCCAGGGCCCAGGGACTCAGGGAACCCCTACTAAAAGGGGCCCAACGAGAGACCCCACTAGCCAAGAGAAGCAGCCACCAGGAAATAGTTTTAACCCACCAAAGTACCCAGCACCACACGTGGAGAAAAAGGTGGTAGACCAAGGTACCATTCACTGGCATAGGGAGCTTAGGATGGTTTAGTAGATGGGGTTGCCACTCTCAACTACTGGACAATCCTATTAAGTAGACAGCAGAGGTGGGGACTCGAGTTTGCGACTCATACTCAAGTTGCACTTAATTCAAAATTATAAACTTAAATCATATTTAAGGACTTCAGACTCGACGAGACTTGCAATTTCCGACTTGTGAACAATATATTTTTTTTAAGCGTTTTTTGTTTTACTAACTTGACTGATCGCCGCTCGCCTTACCCACACACAGCAGAGGTAAAAAAAACAAAAAACGCAGAGGGGCCGTCAAACAGTCATGTAGCACTGACGTCACTGACCAGTTCAAGATAATGATCATTCCATAGATATAATAGTGACCTTTAAGCTATACCGTCTCAGTGAAGGAGATGAAAACACAAGGAGAAACAAGCAAGCATGCAAATAGACTTGAGACTTGAGCTCTCAAGACATGAGACTTGACTTGGACTCGAGTTCTCAAGACTTGAGACTTGACTTGAACTTGCAAAAAATGACTTGTGAACATGTCTGGTAGACAGAGACACATTCACAGGCATCAAGTCACATATTTCCACTCAGACATACAGACAAATAGATGAAGAAGAACAGACACTGAACCCATCCTTAAACTCCTCTTACATAATCCCAAGTCGAGGTAACAGCCCCCACACCCAGGAGGAGATCTCCAGCCCTCTGGGTAAGCCAGGGACAGGCAGCTATGGCTATTAAGAAAAAAGAAATGGCTAGGATGGTGCCCCACCTGCCCCTCACCATCACTTACCCTGTCCAACCCTCATACCCCCCATAGCACTGGTCTATTGATGGTTCAGACTGAATGATCATCAATTTAATGATCAGATTGTTTAATGCAAGCTTCATTGTGTCTATGAGCAGATGTTTGTTTTCAAACCACATCAAACTGAAGATGGTGTATAAAATGTAGCTTCGATTTTGTTAAACAAGTTGGCCACACCAGCTCCTCTGTTTATCATCAACGTCACTAAATAAACACGAACACATCTTCAAAGATCCACTGCATTAAAAGCTTACATCAACACCAGTTTGGCTGTACTTCCTGTTCCTTAGGGATTGACATCCCGCCACCTAGCATAACATCCCCGTTCTGTCTCACCCACTGCTGATAATGAAGGACTCGGTTCCACAGCTGGTAGAAACAAGTGCTGGATCCTAACCAAGCAACTCTGTTCTGTGGCACAGGTACAGAACCGATACAAGAGCAAAGGTTCTGCTGGTGGACAAGAGACAGTAAAACTTCTTCCTGTTAAAAATAGGTTTATAATCTCTACCGTCGCTTTGTACAGGCTAAATATCAGGGATGGAATTAGTGTGAATGACATGATGCAAACACCTGTTCCCTATGGCTACCCGCTCATCCGGAACAAGTCACTGTTTGCCTTTAAAACTGGGATGATTAGTGAGTCATCAGATTCAGTATCCTCACCTTACAGGTTCCTCCGTTCTGACACTGTCCATGGCAGCTCCTCATATCTGTGGAAACAGAACAGTTTCAGATGAAGTTCAACAACAATGAAGACGGAAGGTCGATGATGAAACCTGCGGCGTCATGATCTTGGCACTGATGCCTGGTCTGATTACACGTTTCACACACATGCCTAGCTCCGTCCATTTCTAATTAACCACTTATGTGATCCACCTGCATTAGTCTTTATTTAAACAGCCTTCAGACCAGTCATCAGTGCAAGATTATTCGAGCCGTTAGTGAGGATTATTCTAGCATTCCTGTATTCTGATGACCTGTTCCGGACCTGTTCTGCTTCTGGCCCTCTGAGCCTGTCTGTCCCCGTTTAATCTGCTTGTCTGACCTGTCTTCTGACTCCTGTCAGATCTCTGCCTGTCTGTGTACCGAACCTGGAATTGTGACTTGCCTCCATTCTGGATTCTCCCTCGGCACCTCACCAGATCTCTGACCTCCTGGCTTTGACTAAGGAGTCAGACTAAGTCACAAACATCGGCTTTGGTTTCACCCTCTGGATCATCCTGCCTACATTCATTTGCTCGGTTCGGATCTCCTGCCTATCCTCTGACCACCATTACATTAGCGTCTCGGACTCTCTGCGCGGTGACCGCTGTGATGCTTTGGCAGCCAACCGGCTGGAACCAACCTCAGCCTCTGGGCGCGGACTGAACCATAAGACCAGAGGTCTGCCTTCGTTTTCAATAAAAATTATGAAAAATCTGAGAGGGAGTATCTCTGACCAGAAGAGAGGCAGACAAAACAGAAGGGTAATGAGGCTATAAGCAAAATGGTCCAGACTGAAGTGTTTTTAGCTCAGGATTGGTTTAGACCCTGAAGCTCAGCAGACATTAGACCAGTCAGTAGACTAAATGTCGGGAGTTTGCACCCATCAGTCAGAAAAATTCGAATCATTTATTTGAACCATTCCTTCATCTGGTGGGTTGACTTAAAGAATTGGTGGTTTTCCCTAATCCATGAGGTGAGACTTATAGATTATACATGTCTTAATAAAGTCTGTTCTGATTGATTATTTGTTTCATGCTCCTTAGCAAACCTCTGGCTGGATTAGTTCTGATCTACTGGAGATCATTCAAAGCTGGTGGTTTCCTTCTCCTTGTTTTTTGTAACGTAATAATTTAATGTAATTCTATCTGCCAAGGAACCAGTTTCACTGCAAGTTGCTGAGGGAAGTTTCTCAATGATTAAAACGAGGATAAGATGTTGGAGATAATTAATTTGTTCATAATGTGAGGGCAGGGAAACTCGACAAAGGTCAGAGAAGGTTCTGGGTCTGAGCTGGACCCATGCAGCCAGGTGGAAACAAAACTCATACTGACTGATGTGAAAGAAGTGGCCCAGCTATCCAGTAAAGTAGGTACAGCCATATTCACCAATCACATTTTTGCAAAAGTAACCACTGAGGCAAGACTTCCCTGCACTCATTAATCTCTGTAAACCAGAGACACCCCAACCCATCAGCAAGCAGCTCAGATTTACAACCTCTGCTGTTTACTCTCAGAGATGCAGAAATTTAAAGCAACGTCTCTATTCAGATTTCTTTTATTAGACCTTAAACCAGATCCGCTCCTCAGGGGTTGACCAAAGAACACCTTCCTTTAAAGAGAACCAAAGCTGCAGAACTAGCCTGATGTTGGGGGAGTTTTATTTTCTGCCTCTGCTCCATTCCCTGCAGGCAAGGCTCACTTCACGCTTTAACCATTCAAACCAACACAGAGCATGAATAGTCCTCCCAGGAGGTGAGCAGCACCTGTTGGTCTGCTGAAATCAAACACTGAACCCCCCACCCCCCCAGAGGTACCCTCTGCCCACTGGAGAAGAGCCACTGCGGTTTGTTTCGCTCTCAGTGTTTCCTGGGTGAGGCTTAATGTTGCCTCATCCTCTCTTCCTGGACGTGGACCCCCCGCAGCTGTCAGGCCGTGCTATATAAAGCATTACTGCAGTCACCTGGTTTGGGTTGCATGACACCTCTGCTGGGGACGGGCTAAGAAGCCAACCCCCTACCTTCAGACAGGTCAACCTTTGGTCTGATTAGAGCCACCAGAGTTCCACTTGACCAGAAGAGAGTAGTTTACATGCACCTCCCTTCACTCTGATCCCACTAAATGATATCCCACTAAATGATATCCACTGGAACCAGCGGACTGCTGAACAGAACCAGCCGCCGGTGTTGGTGCTGCTACCTCACCCCCACATTCCCCGGTCAGCTCTTGGACAGCAGAAATGTTGGAGGGTAACATACCAATCTGGCAGGTCTTTCCTGTCCACTGAGGGGGGCAGAGGCACTCAAAGCTGCTCTCCATGTCGATGCAGGTTCCTCCATTAGCACAGGGCGATGAGGCACATTCATCAGTGTCTGGAACAGACAGCATTCTTTTTCTGTTTCTAATTCACAATATTATTCAGGTATTACATCATCATGACACCCCTCAGTGAGGAAGGGGAAGAGTCCCAGTTAGATATTAACGGACAGGTCTGTAGACGGCCCATGGTGAGAGAGAGTAGATAGAGGAAGGCTGAGCAGAGAATTTTTCAGTGTGGAATCATCTCCTCCAGGTCTGACCTGAAAGCTACTGGCCATCTGTTCTGCTCCTCACCTTCAGCACAGGTTGGTCCCGACCAGCCCACAGGACAGTGACACTCGAACCCTGAAGGGACTTCATGACATGTCCCTCTGTTGGCACAGGGGTTGGACAAGCAGGCGTGCTCCGCTGGAGGACAGACAGAGACAGGTTTAAGTCCCAAAATCTATAGAACAACAGAACAGACTCTGTGGTGTAAAGGGTTCTAAGGCAGACTCACCAATTTGACAGTTTTTGCCAGAGTAGCCATCAAGACAAGCACAGTGGTATTCATCTGGCTCCGTGTTCATGCAGGTTCCTCCGTTCTTACAGGGCAGGTTGGTCCCGCAGTAGTTCAGATCTGCACCCAAAACAGGAAGGAAGGGATGACTCTGTAGGCCCTGAAACGTGTCAGTCCAAGGCCCAGAAGAACCGAGCCGCTTACATAGATCACAATGATAGAAAACATAGACAGACCTTTATCACATAGCAAGCCGCCCCAGTTCTTCTCACAGGTGCACTGCCAGGGCTCAGAACAGGTACCGTGGACACAGCCGGGGTAGGGCAGGCATCTGTCACACAGTGGACCGCCCCACCCGTAATTACACCTGAAAGACATCACCATCATCATCACCATTCATTCCAAGTATACCCACAGTGGAGGGTTAAAGGTCACCTCCTAATCTGAACCACTCTGTTACAAAGCAAACAGTATCCCCCTTCAGCTCATGGCTGTTAGCATTAGGCTGTGTCCTAATGTCCACCATGACCTCTGACCCCTCCATCACTATGGAAGGCAGGGTCCACCCTGACCTCTGACCCCTCCGTCACTATAGAGAGCGGGGTCCACCCTGACCTCTGACCCCTCCATCACTATCCGGGGTCCACCCTGACCTCTGACCCCTCCATCACTATAGAGAGCAGGGTCCACCTTGACCTCTGACCCCTCCATCACTATAGAAGGCGGGGTCCACCCTGACCTCTGACCCCTCCATCACTATAGAGAGCTGGGTCCACCCGAACCTCTGACCCCTCCATCACTATAGAAGGCGGGGTCCAACCTGACCTCTGACCCCTCCATCACTATAGAGAACAAGGTCAACCCTGACCTCTGACCCCTCCATCACTATAGAAGGCGGGGTCCACCCTGACCTCTGACCCTTCCATCACTATAGAGAACAAGGTCCACCATGACCTCTGACCCCTCCATCACTATAGAAGGCGGGGTCCAACCTGACCTCTGACCCCTCCATCACTATAGAGAACAAGGTCCAACCTGACCTCTGACCCCTCCATCACTATAGAGAACAAGGTCCACCCTGACCTCTGACCCCTCCATCACTATAGAGAGCAGGGTCCACCCTGACCTCTGACCCTTCCATCACTATAGAAGGCGGGGTCCAACCTGACCTCTGACCCCTCCATCACTATAGAGAGCAGGGTCCACCCTGACCTCTGACCCCTCCATCCCTATAGAGAACAAGGTCCACCCTGACCTCTGACCCCTCCATCACTATGGAGAGCGGGGTCCACCCTGACCTCTGACCCCTCCATCACTATAGAAGGCGGGGTCCAACCTGACCTCTGACCCCTCCATCACTATAGAGAGCAGGGTCCACCCTGACCTCTGACCCCTCCATCACTATAGAAGGCAGGGTCCACCCTGACCTCTGACCCCTCCATCACTATAGAAGCCAGGGTCCAACCTGACCTCTGACCCCTCCATCACTATAGAGAGCGGGGTTCACCCTGACCTCTGACCCCTCCATCACTATAGAGAACAAGGTCCACCCTGACCTCTGACCCCTCCATCACTATAGAGAGCGGGGTCCACCCTGACCTCTGACCCCTCCATCACTATATAAGGCAGGGTCAACCCTGACCTCTGACCCCTCCATCACTATAGAGAGCGGTGTCCACCCGACCCTCTGACCCCTCCATCACTATAGAGAACAAGATCCACCCGGACCTCTGACCCCTCCATCACTATAGAGAGCGGTGTCCACCCGACCCTCTGACCCCTCCATCACTATAGAGAACAAGATCCACCCTGACCTCTGACCCCTCCATCACAATAGAGAGCGGATTCCACCAAGACCTCTGACCCCTCCATCACTATAGAGAACAAGGTCCACCCTGACCTCTGACCCCTCCATCACTATAGAGAACAAGGTCCACCCTGACCTCTGACCCCTCCATCACTATAGAGAGCAGGGTCCACCCTGACCTCTGACCCCTCCATCACTATAGAGAGTGGTGTCCACCCGGACCTCTGACCCCTCCATCACTATAGAGAGCGGGATTGCACCTGACCTCTGACCCCTCCATCACTATAGAAAGCGGGGTTCAACCTGACCTCTGACCCCTCCATCATTATAGAGAGCAGGATTCAACCTGACCTCTGACCCCTCCATCACTATAGAAAGCGGGGTTTAACCTGACCTCTGACCCCTCCATCATTATAGAGAGCGGGGACTTTATAGTGAACTCAGTTAACTGACCGTTCAGACAGATGATCACTGCTTTTCGATCTCCTTTGGTCATGTTACTGCTCCTCCCTGCACGGTGCCTTCACCATCTTTGTTATTTACCATCGCTACAACAAATCCCATGATGCTTTGAAAGGAGAGCTCCCTAAAAGCATTCTGGGATATATCTGCTCGTCTAGTGACCATGGATGATCACTACTTTTCAAGGTGCACTGTGGGAAAATGACTTGCAGACACAGCAGGAGGTGAAGATCAATCACTTTAGAGCTGAGTTCCCGATAAAAAAACGAAACTGTGGGTTGGATCAACATTTGTCTTCATTAACAAAAGCTGTGGAACCAGCTTGTCCACAGACTTCTTTTCCATTTTAGGTCTATCCGAATTCCTTCCAAGGTCCTTCTGAGGTCTGTCTGTGGTCCTTCTGACATCCATCTGAGGTCCTTCTGAGGGCTGTCTGAGGTCCATCTGACGTCCATCTGAGCTCCTTCTGAGGACCTTCTGAGGCCCATTTTAGGTCCATCTGAGGTCCATCTGAGGACCTTCTGAGGTCCATCTGAGGTTCTTCAGAGGACCTTCTGAGGGGTCATCTGAGGTCCATTTTAGGTCCATCTGAGGTCCATATTAGGACCTCCTGAGGTCCTTCCGACAACCTTCTGAGGTCCATTTTAGTTCCACCTGAGGTCCTTCTGAGATCAATCTGAGGTTCTTCTGAGGTCGTTCTGAGGTCCATTTTAGGTCCATCAGAGGTCCTTTGGAGGTCCACCTGAGGTCCTTCTGAGGTTATTCTGAGGTGCATCTGAGGTCCATCTTTGTTAAAACCTTCTCAGTTTGAGTCCAGTAGATGAATAACATCTGAGAACATCAGGTCTTATAAGGGATTTTCTGTTGAGTTTAGATCTGGACCTTCTAGGCCATTCCTGCCTATCAACCAGCTCTGAATGAAACCTTTCCCTACATCTTCTTTCAGAAGATCTTCACTTTTAGTTTCATCTTCATTGTTCATGTTTAGGGTCTGATGATCTGCTGGAAAGTTCTGATCCTTCTGTCCATCAGGCAGCTTTTATGTTTCTTTGGTTCCTTCACTTTAAAAACATTTGCCGCTGTCAAAAGTTTTCACACCCTTTAGCTTCATACAGGAGCCCAAAGCTCAGCGTAACGTCAGACTAACACAGCTGTGCCTCAGGGTGAAGACAGCCTAATAAACTGGAAAAATGTGTTCAGGATTCAACCTCCTTCTCTGTCAGTCTGGGTGGCAGCAGATAGATCACCTTCTCGCATGATCAGATGATGTGTTTACTGTCATGTTTGTTCTGAAGGTTATTGTTTTATTCTAAACAGTTGCTCCAACTACCCAGTAAGACCAGCCTGGAACCAGTGTCTCCAACTGGTTCACTCCTCGTGACAAGCATCTGATGACTTTATACTGGTGTTGTGTTGCGAGCGGAGCTGGGATCCAACTGGGACAAACCAGCTGGTTTCATGGAACAACAGTCTGTCATCTTTGGGTCTATGTAGGTTCACTAATCTGTTGGTTTATTGCAGCTCTCTGTTTTTTCAAGGCCACAGGCTAAGACTGCCCCACCTGTCCTGTCATTTCTCTTCTGGGTCTATTTACGGATCCCCCACCTCCCAGACAACCCACCTCTTTACCCTGAAGCCCTTCCCCCACCGCCCCCCAGCAGCAGACTACTATAGGGACAGACGCAGCAGAAACTTGGAGACATTGCTGCCCAGTTTAACCAGTGAACTGCAGCTCAGTGGAGGAGAAAGAGGAGGTGGAAAAGACAGCCTTTATTCTCACAGTGAAACATGGCGGTGGCAGCATCATGCAGTGGGGATGTGTTTTTACAGCTGTGGTACTATAGGAAATAAGCTGCTCCATAAACATCTTTTCCCTTACTGACATCAAACGCTCATTAGGTTCAGTTTGGTTAAAAGTTTTTTATTCAGTGGCTGAAAATAGTAAAAATGAGGAGTTTGTTTTCTGTTTCCATCACATGCAGCATAAATAAAGTCTGAAACAACATAGTATACAAAGCATTCAACATTTCTTTAGTAAAAACACAGTTTTTTTCTGTTTCCACATCGTCACGTCTCTCTGTGTGCAACAGGTAAATCTACCGTTTAATTTCACGCTATATTTCTGTTTAGCTGCTGTAAAAACATTTACTATTATTTAATAATCATAATTTCTTAAATAAACAATACTGAGCTAAGCCATTTTGGAAGAGGTATTTTAACTGTTTCTTTTTTTTTTTATGCATTTCCGCTGGTTATGTTGATCACGACCCCTACTTCTATGGGCTCGCATACGGAGCACACGGTGCGCACATGCCACAGACACGAAGCACACCACAGAACAGTTGGACAATCCAACGCGCGAGTAAACCTCAGCCCTGAGCGGTAGGAGGCGGTTCAGACCTGATCTGTGGTCTCCTGTCAGCAGCAGTGGACAGGCTGCCTGGCTGGAATCACAGGTCAGGTTACAGGGAGCCACAAACCAAGGGGGGAACCGTCCGTTCAACAGAGGAGGCCCTAGGTTCCTGCCAGGGACCCCTCAGGCACATCAAAACCAGGTGAGCTGGAACAGAGCTGGAGGGGCCAGTATAAGAGACCCGGTAGCTTGGAGCCCAAACCCAGCAGAGAGACTTAAGCGCTGCACAGACTGTGGGATTTTCGGTTGTTTCTTAGACACTTTTGCAGCCATGGGACAACTTTGGGAATTCAGCTGACTCTAAGCGAACCATAGTGTGCGTCGTTCAGTACACAAGGGGGTCACTGGCGGAGACTGGTGAGGGCCAATCAAACCTGAGTGATATTTTCGTTGTGACTTGTTAGTAAATCACATGTTGAAGCTCTTTCCTCACAGATTTTCACATTCCACATGCACCAAACAATAAACCGTCTTCTTTGTTTGATAGATACCTTTATTTATTGCGTTGCATGTCGTCAAAATATGTGAACTTTTGAACTCTGCAATTGAAAATGTTGTGCCGTGTAGTCGCAGCTTTAGCCTGTTGCAGCCTAGCTACAGTTCTGGTTCTGACACACGGAGAGAGCAGGAAAGCACAAACTTCTGGTTCTGGATAACCTGACCTTCTTCCTCATGCTTCCTTCAA